CACTCTTTCTTTGGCTCCTGGATGGGAGCAAGAGCTCTAGAATAAAGGAGTACTAAGAGAAATACTCATACAAACAAATAAGAAGGCCAAGGTCACTCCTGACATTCACCCTCAGGATAATCAGGCTGTTCTGGCTGACAGTATAGGGCATCTCTCGTCAGGGAAAGAAAGCTACTTAGAGTCTATCTGTATAGGGTTTTAAAAATTGTCGTTTTTGTTGTTTATGCAAAAGAATGATCAACTGGAAATTTCCTGTGTAGCAAAAGAGACACCAAAACCTAAAGATGTTAAAGCAGGATTTTCAAATGTAGACATCTCTAAACCCCACTTCCACGTAGAGGTACACAAGGGACTAGGAGAGGATTTATTTGAGGGAGCCACTGGCATTCTCTGACTCCCCGAGCCTCTTAGACAAAGGGCTGTCATGGGACCACTCAGACAGCTTTGCATGCACTCTAGAAGTTTGGGGCGATACTGTGCCCCGGTATCCGAATCATGACTGAGAAATCTTATGGGTGAGAGGCTGGCTGGAACAGTACTATAGAGGTGAGAAAGACAGGGAAGAAACTGCACTCCCAAAGATCGTCGGGGCAAAGGGTATCTGAGTGTTCCGCTATGGACGGGACATGGGTCATCAGAGAGAGGCAGGCTGGGTTTACTGAATCCTGCCCCAAAGTGCAGGATGGGCCAATCAGATGGCTTGTTTGCTTGATGGCTGTGGGAAGCAGAGAATTCACCTTCCTGGAGGTAAAGGAGAAACATGCAGCCATCTTATGAATGGCACCCACCTTGGACCAGGTAAACATGTAGTACAGAGGTGAAATTGGCAGAAAGTGGAGAACAGGGCAAAAACAGCAGCAGAAAAATGGAGCAGAAACCATGAACAAATGATACGTAAACTCCACCCTTGATCTGAACTTTTTGTCATTGTGAACCAATAGACTCTTGCCCCGTCGATGTAGTTTGAGTTGAGTTTTATAGCATTTGGCAGTGAAAGCACTTCATTATATCATCTTTTCTAAATGAAGTGGGAGAAAATCCACAGTCCAAATGTGTGCTAGAGGAGGACTATCCAAAACCAGAAAAATGCAAAAGAATCAGAATGCCAACCTTGCTTTGTTCTTCGAGCGAACTCTCTAAGGAAGACACGGACTCTAATCCAAACGAGACGTTAATTGAGAGATGAACTGCCTTTGACCGGAAGGTATGAAACAGGGAGAGTCAATTATGTGTTACCTGGTAATGAACTCTGTGGGAGCCAGAAGAAACTGACTGCAGATCCTGATGAGAAAATGGAAACAAAAATATATCCATACCTTAAGATCAGTTCGAACGAGCTGCCTCCAGAACTCTGTCAACTGAACTCCCAGCTTAACATGATTGAAACCATCTGGAAAATATCTAACTCACCCAAATTCATCAAGGTTACAC